TTTTTTTGGTTCATTTGATTTGATTTGATTTTTTTTTCCCCCCTGGAGCGATGCAAGGGCTCGTCCTGTGACAGGTGGGAGTTGTCCGGTCTGCGTCCCCAGCCCAGTGTCTCCAGGCTGCAATGAGGAGGACGCTCCATGGCATTCGTGTTTCCACGTAGTAACAAAGCACGCGGAAATGTTTTAACAGTGCTTGCGGGGAAGCGGATAAAGCGTCCCCCAATATCAAGGCGCCGCAGCCTGGCCTTCCCGTCCCCACAGAAAGGAAACAGCAGAGAATCGAAGATGGAGAGTTCAAAATCAAAGATGAAGATGGTTTTGCTTCCAGTGAAACAGTTAATGAGCAGAACAGTTGCTCTGTGAATGGTGGCCATTGCTGCAGCTTGGCCTTGGTGGGTATCAGGATGACCATAAATGTCTGCTGTTGGGTCCATGGCATGGGGGTGCTGCTTTCAGTGTTTCGAATGCAGTAAGCAAACGGGTTTGGACAAAATGTTGGGCCCAGGGTTTATATTTCATACCCAGAGATGAATGAGTTTAAGGATACCGAGTTTAGTTTTTCTTTGTACTTCTGGCACCCACTGAGCCAAGTTTAATAATCAGTTTCATAAAAATCTGCTCAGGGAAGCAGGAATGGAAATACGTTAACCTCTCAGCTGATAGAGGGCTGAAACTCTCTTCATACCACTGCTACACCAACCTATCTCCATTCATTTCAGCCCCAACAGACATTGGTTTAAATGTTAGGACTATCAGGCCCAGCAACATCTTACAAGTGAGAACGGCGTAGTGGAATTTAAAGGAGTTACACCTGAGTTGAGGTAGACTCATTGAGCCTAGAGATTTATTTGTAAATCCCCATCTTGGGGGGTTTGTAAGGGCAGAATACAGAGAGGCAGAGATGTTATGACCACAGGTATAGGCAGTAATTGTACAGCAAATATAGTTTCTGTAATGATGCTGAAAAAGATGGCGTCCTTTTCTGTAAGTCTACTGCGTAACACGCAGTGCTTAATATATTGTGCTCATTCAATTATAGTTTTAGTGAGCTGGAGTCACAAGGGACAGCAAAGCTTTTCAGGCTTTCTGGTGATTTCCTGAAGGTATTTCAGCACTTGGTCACAGTACAGAACATAATAAATTGCACCATCTGTATACATAGTTCTTGGTTCCTGACAGAATGAGAGATAAGGCTTTAGGCATTGTACGCCAAAAAAATACAACACAGATTTCTTTTCTTTCAGTATTTACAATGCCTTAATGTCAGAAGAACGGTGGATTTTTCTGCCATTAGCAATTGTCCAAGTAGCTGTCTCGAAGCGTTGTTCCTGTGCTTCAAAGACAACCCAGGGAACTGAGGACACAGAGTCAAACTGGACCCTCAGTCGCACGGAAGCAAGTGCAATCAGGGATATTGTTCTGACACAAACAAGAGCATAGTTTGGCCCAGGTAATCAGCATCTTTTCTGTTTTGCACTGGTAATAGACAGTTCCCTTGGGGAAATGATTGGGCTGTGGATATATTAAATCCAGTCTTTGGCCCCAGTCATGTGGTCCACACACAGGCATATTTCCCATTAGACTGAATGGCTGAAGAAAGGGCTGAATTTGTGCCCTATTCTTGTCCACATGATACCAGCGCTTTTCATTAATTGCATTGGCTTCTATTCTGTAGTTTCTGTGGAGGGAAAATAGAGTCCAGGAGTTTTTCCCTCTTATAAGGAAGATAGATGATGTGGTGCTTGTAAGACTGCAGGCCCTGAATCAATGACAGGCTTGAAATATGTTTTGCTTAATAACACATTAAGTGTTTTGTAGCACCAGGACTGGTATGAGGAAGAACGTGATGATTTGTCTGCAGCAGTCACACTACTGAAGTGTTGAGGTGGATATTGGCTAGGGCTATGATCCCTGAACCAGAACCAGGATTTCTTGGGTTGTAGTCCCACTACTAGCCACGAGTTCCTCTGCTACCTTGGGCACATTTTTAAAGTTACCTGCACAAGGTTCCCTGCCTGTCAAAACAACATGGCCGAATCCAGCTACCTGAAGGCTGCGGTGTGTTTGGTGGTGGAGGCAATAATGGGGTCCTGTCCTCCAAGACATATTTAGCACATCACAGAAATCGGAAGCAATGCCAGATACTTTGCTGGTGTGATCAACACAGGTCCATGCTCTGGCTCCGTGCTCTGGAGGTGAAAAGTGCCTTGCGAGTAAGTGTCACAGCTCAAAATAATAACTTAAGCTATTTGAAAAGATTGTTTTGTTTGTTTTCAGAAAAAGACTGCAGAAACAGCATCATTCAAGCAGTCTCTCAAAAATTTAAGATTAATATTAACACTCAATAGAATGATGACCATTACTCTTTCTCCCTTTCATCTTTGGTTTTGTTGTCAAAAAATAGTATTTATCTTGCTCACTTTGTGTTTTTTTTTTAAACAATTGTGGATAATCAGAACAATCATGATTAACATTCCAATACAGCAACTACTCAGGCAACATTAGTAAGGACTGCAACACTGATTAGCTGTACAAACAAATATTACTGTACTCCTTTAATCTAAGTAGCCATAATGGTTATAATGGACTCTAAGAGGCTATTTAGTTTATCGGTATAGACTGAGTTTACAACATGTATTCAAGTGTTCAGAGGGCACGGGAGAAGGTTCTCTTCCAGGTTGACTTGTCAAAACTTCACTAAAATCAATAGATACTCACCAGTCTGGCTTCAGGCAGAATTTGTCCCTATGTCTTCAGAGTGGGCTTTTAGCCGGAGCCAGCAGCAGAGGAAGCGAAGGTGACCACTTCTCAGGCTTTGTGGTCAGTCAGGCCTAAGAAGAATCCACTTAAGCTGTTTTTGCTAATGACATTTCTGGATGTGAGTCAATGGACTCAAGAAGAGTGTCCGAACTGGTGAAACGCTAGCCAAAACATAAACAGAAAACATTTCAGCACTGAGATTTCAAAGCCTTCTGCCTGAAAGCACCATCTCTCAGATTAATTTTTGGTTTTGAGTCTAGAATACCATAAACAGGCTGGTAAATGTACAGCATCACTTTGACTTGCGCTGAAAATACTTTTGTTGCTATTCTTTTAAAGATATTTTTATTGGTCCGTATATCTAAAGTAGTGCTCTCAGCATGTGGAAAGCAAATTTATTGGTTTGGGGTTTAGAATCCACACCTTACTGGGAAGTTTTTAGGAGATCACAAATTAACAAAGGTCACAGCAGCAGAAACAGTGGAGGAATTTGCAGTTTTCCAATCACTGTCATCAATTCTCAGGGAGAGGAGAGAGTTCTTCTTGATGATCCCAATTATTTTAAAGAATACAGAACAACACTAGGACCCTTAATTTTATTTACATATACAAGTAACAGATTTGATTTTTGGAAGACGTCATCGTTCAATTGTTTGATAATTCCAGCGTGTGGGAAAAGATTCCCAACTTTTAGCACATCTAGAACAAATTGTTATAACACTGATTCTTTCATTTTTTTTCTATTAATTTAATAGTTAATAAAATTTTAGAAGTGGGTTTTAAGTTTTAAAAGTGTCTGAATTTCAGGAAGTGCTCTTCAAGTTTTCTCCCAGATAAATATGGGCTATTGCATTGCATCTGGAAAACAAAGGCAGGTTGTTTCCTTTCCCTTGGTATAGATCAGGAATACCTTCATCAAAATCAATGGATCCACGTCAGTTTAGGTGAGGAGTGAATAGGACCAACGTGGGAAACTGCATCATGTAATCTTTAGCTCATGCTCCAGCACCTGAAATTAGAGGACATGGCAGATTTGTATTCATGGCCAGAAAAGCTACGGCTATACATCATGTAAGCGTGTTCTTGCCTTTTCAGTTTTCTAGCTCTGAAATGCTGCGTTCAGTGATAAACAAGCCTCCTGCTCACTCACTTTCAGTAGTTTCTCACATATTGTTCTCTTCAGCAAATGGATTGCTCAGCGGTATCACTGTTCTTTGTTTATAAATGTAAAGGTAAAATGCGTGGGATTAGTTATTAAAGTGTCCAGAAAAGTCCCAGATGTAAGGAAGTGCTTGTATGTCCCAAATATGTCTGTTTTTTCCAGCTCTATCAATTGCTCAAACAACACATTGCTTCTCCTTACAGATATTACACTCTTAGTCCCTTGTGGCTACTATAATGAAGTCCCTACATGCTGAGTGAACTGCAGGTTGCAGGAATCTCTTAAGTGCTATGTCACTTTTACACTCAATATTCATTGCTGCTTAGGTTTCACCTGTCTTTACAAAAGATTAAATAGTTGTTATTTGAATGTGTAGAAGACAGTGTGAAAACATTGCCTTCACGTTTACTCTTGGACTCTGTTTGGGTCCCTTGCAGATCCAGTGTAAAAGGCAGGACTGGTTGCAAATTTCCAGGAGGAATTCCTCATCTGCTTTACCGTGGAAATCCAGTACAATTTGGGATACATTTGAAACACGATGGCAGCGGTCCCTCCATTTTGACATGTCACCTCTCTGTCTACATTTGTGTATGGGGGAATGGATGTGAGGGACTCACTTATTTCCAGGCAATAGCTGTTTCTGTTACAGGTGAGCAGAAGAAATTGAAATCTGCCCCAGGAAGCCAAGCAGACGACTTGGCAAGCAAGCAGTTAACACAGGATGACAGAAGGAGGGAGTGACTGTATTCTCTGAAGAACTGAGCAACCGTGCCACTGCCTTCACCTCTGTGTGAGCACAGACTTAGGATGGAAGGTTGTTCTTGGTGGTCTGCCTCCCTCAGTTCTTCTACTGCTAGTGCACACCAGACATGCATCTTGTCGGAGAGGGCAATGACTGTGAAAATCCTGTGCAAAATCGCACTGGGCCATTCTCTCACCTGAGGATTATCCCACAGTGCAAGGGGCTCTGAGAGGAATATCCACGTGCGGGGCGGAAGGAGAGAGTTACCCATGTGTATATGCACATATGGACAGTCACTGAAAAGGGAAAAGAAAGTAACTTTATAACAATGAGTTTTTTTTGAGATGTGTGTGCCATGTTGTCATTCACTTTTCCCCATCCCATCTACTCTGCAAGCCCCATCAGGAAGACGTGGAGATGCTTGGATGTCGAAGTGAGGTGTAGCCTGTACACAGGGAAGAGCAGGAGTGTGTCCTTGTGTGGATGGCTGAAGTAAAAGGAGTTTCAGGTTTGAATCACTGTGGTACATGTACAACTATGGTTTGAATGTGCATATAAACTGTGTGCCCCAGAGAACTCCTCCCACCAGTGAGCACCGTCCCCTTACCATCACTTAGAGTACTACCTCTGTCCCTTCGGAAGGGTTCGTAGCCTCCTCTGCAGAGATCCCTTACCAAGGGCACTCCAGGCTGCAGCAAATACGCAAACCTACGCTCCTTTGGGTGGGCAATGTGGAGGCCCTTTGCTGTTTAGCAAAACATGACTAAACTCTGCCAGACTTCTTCAGGGTGAATTGTGTCTGGCCCTGGTTTCAAGAGGAAATCACGAAGGTGTTATTAATTGTTGTAAAAAAGCACTCGTAGAAACACACCCCAAGTTATTTTTGTTTCTCTTCACTTACCCGTAAGCTCCACAGTGGATTTTGGTAAAGAGCCATTCTACTGTTTCTTTAACAATACATTCAACAAATGTGGCATCCATTGTGGTGAGGTGATGTGGTAATTCATGCCACTGATGAATGTGTGACATTTGTTAATGGCAGGGAAAGAAATATGAGGTTGTGCCAATGTCTAACAGAGAATTTTGGTGAATATTTTATAACAGCCAAGGTTAAGAGTTAAGAGCCAGACTCCAAGCAGGTCAGATTGTAATGGGCCCATCTGTCTCATAACAAGAGCTATTGATCGGTTATTAGTCATAGCTAGTGGGGGACTATCACAAAGACACCACTGGCAGCAGAGCTCATGTCCTGGTTTCAGCTGGGATAGAGTTAATTGTCTTCCTAGTAGCTGGTACTGTGCTATGTTTTTGAGTTAGGTATGAG